AGGCGGCGCTGACGGGGCTCGCCGTGCGCGGCGCCGGCTCTGGGGGCGGCTGTCCTGGAAGCCCCGGGGAGGGCAGCGCGGTCCCCGCTCCGCGGGAGCTGGCGGCGCGATGCGGCACCGCGGAGGAGCCCCGGAGATCCCCGAGACGCGGGGGAGCTGCCGGGAGAGCCTCGAGGGCAAAACGGAGAGCTGGGAGCCCGCTCGTCCCCACGCTCCTCGCCTGGTTTGAACCAAGAGCGTCAAGGCTCCAGTGCCTTCCGCTCCTCTTAAGAGTTGTTTGGAGCTACCCATGTTGAACACGTTTGTGTTGGGAAGGATGGAGCGTTTGGGTCTAACACAGACATTGCTCCCACGCCTGTTGATTTTAATCCTGCGTTTGGTTTTAGGCTAGACTGTGACCAGCTTCGGCTACGAGGTCCCCAGCTGCCCTGATGCTCTCCTCTGGGCTGGACTCGCTCCTGGACTCGTCCATGTCTGCCGCGGCGGAGGAGCCGCGCGCCGGGCTGCCCGGCAGCCTCCCCGCCGAGCTCGTGGCCGCGGCGGAGCCGGCCCGCGGACCAGCTGCAGGCGCCGGCGTCGCCACGGCCGGGCCCGCACACAGGGACGTGGAGCCGGCGGCCGAGGACACAGAGCCGGCACCAGGGGACATGGTACCAGTACCCGGGGATGCGGCACCAGTACCTAGGGACACGGACCCGGCAGCCAGGGACACGGTGCCAGTGCCTGGGGACACAGACCCAGCACGCAGGGATGCGGTGCCGGCCGAGCCATGCAGGACTGCTGGGATCGACACCTCCTCTCCAAAATCAGGGAGTTTGGGCGAGGAGCCCATGATGATTGCTCATGGACTGGCAGCATCCTGCTCCCAAGAGGGAGTAAAGCCAGGAGACTGTGAAGAGGATGAAGAAACCCAAAGAGACTGTAGGAAACTGGACTGTTCTGCTGGTAGATGCCAGAGAGGAGATGAGGAGGGACGAGATGCTGAGGAGGGCCTTGAGTGCTGTGCTTTAACCGCCAAGGAAAGACTATGGTCAAAACAAGTAAGAGAGAAACTGATGGCTGCATGATAATTTGAATTTAGGATTATGGTGACTAGGGAGAGAATTCTGTCCATGTGGTTTCCTGTTTTGTATTTGTTTCTTCTGGAATATGTGTCATTCTTTTGGTTTTCAAGGGTTCAGTTAAAGCTAGTACTTACGACTGAGTAAACCAACAGGGTTTTAAAATATCAGGGTTTTCTTTTCACTTTTGTGAATACTATTGGAATAGTATCAGGCAGGTATGCAACAATAAGAAGAAAAACTGAGACAGGTGCCCAAACAGGAGGAGAAAAAAAAAAACAACTAAACAAGCTTGCCTTGCCCCCGCTCCATGTTCTTATGGGTGCAATATATTCCACAGATGATCTCCCCAGTGAAGGTACTAATCATTAAACCACAGTTATTTTAGTCATGTAGTAGTATTACCATGCCACAAGGGCTCCAATTTAGGGTTCTAAGGTTTTGTTTTTATCTAAAAACACAGATTCTTCCTCATTTTTAGAGTTTTCATTTATAAATAGATCAGTATCTTTTTTCAAAATAATAAGGCTTATGTGGTCACTTTCCTCTGTAACAAACACTCATTATAAAAATGCTATTTCTACGCAAAGGTTCATTGAATCTAAGGAAAAGTAAATTGGATGTGTTAATAATATGCTAGTATTTTTTAAAAGCTGCTAAAGAATAGTCTATTAAAAACAGAGAGTCCCCAAATGTTCTATGAAAGATGCAGGGGGTTGTTTTGTGTTTGATTGTTTGTTTTACAGCAGGTGGCATTTTTTTATGCTCCCTAGGTAAAACTCAGATTTCCCATGGCTCTCTTTATATAGTTGTTTTGATTCCTGATATTAGAAAATAGTTTGCCTTTAACTACCTCAAGGTTTCAGAAATGTGTGCATGACTATTTTCAGGGAAAGCAGTATACAGAATTTTAGTGACTCTGATTCTCAGCTGAGTCACTGCTTCAACTCAATTCTCTTTAGTTTGTCAGAAACAAGAGATGGGAGAGAAAAAGGTATTGTGGCTAAACATACATCAGCTAGGTAATAGCTGGGTAAGATACATACTTTACATTTACTACTGGATGTAAAAGCTAAGAGTCTGCAGTTGTAACTCTGGAATTTGCTATGTTTGGTTTACTTGTGTATATGTGAAATTAGAATTCGTTAATTTTTCCAGAGTTATTGAAGGACCTAGCCTTCAAACTCAAAACATCACAGTCAGTTTGGCTTAACCATTCTGTAAGCACTGGATGTTTAACAACTTTTAAGTACACATATGAAGAACAAGTATCTGGGCCATTCTATAACCCTTTCTTTGCAAACAGGTATGAAATCTTTGCAATTAATGAGTTTGAAAATACTCACTCTTGGAGATGATTTTTTTTAGCCTCATCCCTCATCACTTTGATCACATAAGAGGAGAAATCAGTTGTTGCCTGAAAATACAAAGTTGTGTTTAAGGAATATACATTGATAATATATCTTTGCTTTAACTTTTCTTCCAATTGATCTTCAATACTTCTAGAAAAATAATAAGAATTATTGTATCAGTTTAGTCCAATTAGTCAGAAAATTTAGAAATTAAAAGCAACATAAACTGTAGAATGGGGAATGCAGTAATGGAGGTAGGGCTTTTCTGTCTGCACAAAAGGATAAATTGAGGAGCTACACAGGATTTGGGATGTGTGGTAGGCTTGGAAACGGGATTGCTTTTCCGTTTTAAATTTGGCATAGTTTCTGTTTAATCCACTAAAATCCTAGCTGCTGGCAAACAAGACTTCATTGCCACTAAATATAAATCTGTTCTGGCTGCATCCTGTCTTGTGGTGAGATGCTAGTGATAGGCAGAATCAGAAAGAAAAGAGAATGGCCCGTTTGAACTGCTTGCAAGGCAAGGCTGCCTGTATTGGCAATCTTAAAATGAGGTTTATGTGCATAAATTGGTTCTGTTTCCTCCTCCCTCCAAGGCTGGCATTTTCTGAAGTTTTTTGGTGGGTTCTCCCTTTAGCACTAACCTACCCGAGCAAGTAGAGTTCCTGGAATGTGCAAAAAACATCAGAGAACTGATCAGCTTTCAGTGGTATTTCTGTCTTGTTTCAGGAGGAGCTTGGCTTAAATCAGCATGGGGTGAAGTTTTCAAGCATCTGTTGCACTCAAATGACAGGATCTCTGAAGAATAAAGGTGCATATTTTAGTTGTTTGTCTGTATGTACCTCCTGCTTCCCTTCCAGATCCCCCTTTATTTGAAAAATTACTGAAAATACTCATGGATTATAGTTGCACAAAATTAATGTATTTACTGCTATTTACTGAAATGAGCCATAAAACAAAACCAAAAAAAAAAAATTTGTACTTGTTTGAAGGTGTGCCAGGGTTTTGGTCCTTTGCTGAAAATCTCCCCAGAAAAGGATAAAAGGATCTCTAGTAGTTTGAATGAATACGTTCCATGTAAAATTTTGATTTTGAAGATATTCTTCAGTAACTCTTTTTCTTTTAATATTCTGTCATTTTTGACTTAGTAGCTCTTTGTGGTTTTACTGAAGTGTTTAATGATATCCACGATGACTTGGATAGGATGAGATCTTCATTGCCTTCTTGTGGTTCATTTATTGACTAGAGTGTGCTCAGGAAGGAAGGGAGAGAAACGGCCACCCAAGTCACAGATACTTCTAAGATAGAACAGATCATGCAAAAACATGTCCTGCTTTATTAAGCCTCACTGTTCCAACCAAGCATAATGACCCTGGACAGGACTCTTAAATGTCATGACTCAAAGGACTTGTACTACACCTTACTCGCTATGAGAGGAACCTGAAAAATACAGGATAGAGATGAAATAGTTCTCAATACAAATGTTCTTCCAAATTACATTTATTGCATTAATGTTTTGGTAGCTTGTTTCGGGGTTTGTTTTTGTGTGTTTTGGGAGGGGGTGGTTGGTCAGATTTTTTTTTTTATTTTTTAGAATTGTGGTAGAGTTACCAGCAACAAGCCAACATTTCTATACATGTACTCTATGTATTGCTAAAGGGAACATGGTAAGTTAAATGTGTTCCAAAATTAGTCTGTGGTACTGACTTTCTTTATTTTTCATGTGCAGAAGAAAACCAAGCAAATGTTCAGGTGACAGCTGAAACTCTGCCAAAGCCTGCTGAAGAAGCACAAGGTATGAAGGCTGATGGGACTAGGATGTTTACTAAAGCAGGATTCAGGAATGACAGAGTGAGTAAAGATCTTCCAGCTGAGAGCAGTGAATGCCCACTTGTAGACACAGTCATGAGCAGTGATAAGGTTCCAGAAACCAGCACATTAGTTTTTTCAGAGCCTTTAATAGTCAGGAATGTTGAATCAGCCATTGAACATCCACAAGAAAAAAATGAATATAATGGGTTAAAAGCCCCTACTGTGATGCTGTTGGCAACAGGGAGTAATGTATCTATTTTGAAAACTAGAGAAGAGAAGCTACCCAGGGAAATTCCTGATGATGAATCCAATACACCACTTGCTATTTGCCAGAGCTATCAGCAGGATGAAGGAAAGACCGTTTATGACTTCAGAACCCTTCGTCTACCTAATGATGAACCTGACAGGGCATCAATACAGAGTTCTAGAACAGTCTCCCTAGCAGTTTCAGAAGTTTCGTGCCCTGTTCAGAAAGGCACCTGTTACCTGGACTTCAGAAATACCCTTGGAGAAAGCAGCAGTGCTGCAGTCTGTAGGATTAACAGACAAGGCCAGGAAGAGAATCTTTGTGGAAAAATGGAAAGTCAAAATCATCATGATCATGAAACTGGGGTTCTAGAGAACCAGAGCTCCAAATCCATACCAGCAGAACAGCCCTCGGTGGTAGGGAATGAAGAATTATCTAGGTATAAGACTGATCATAGAGAAATAAGTAATAATATAGATAATTCATACAGCTCTGAACTTGAAGACACTGCTGAAATCCAGAGAAAAATTACTATGGGAGATAAAGCTGGAGATAGCATTCAGCCTGAAGCTCGAGAAGATGTTATATCTGAATGCTGCAGTTCTTCAGTTTTCAGTTCCACTGCTTCATCTCCTGAGAATTTCTCAAGAGAAAAATTAAAAATCATGCCATCAGAAGCTGGTAAGTGGAAAAAAGACCAGTGTCAATTAGCAGTCATTGATCAGCACAAGGATGATACAACAGGAAATAGTCCATTGATGGAAACAAATAACATTGTTTCCCCTGAAACTGAGCAGACATACGTATGCTTTTATAATACCTCCAGTAAAAACACTATTTCTAATAACCATGGTTGTCTGGAACTCAGTAGCAAGTTAGAAAAAGGTTCACCTGTGCTACAGCTCCTTGAAAGGGAATCTGAGAGCAATATAACATCAGAAGAGCTGGCTGGCAACTTAGTTGAAGCTCCAGAAGCCAACAGTATTCACAGTTTATCCATTGGCAAAGAAACTCAGTTGGTTTCTTCACTAAATATACTTTTATCTCCTTTTGCACAAAATTCACAAGTACCTCATGATAATGAACTTACTCCTTGTACTGCTAATGAAGTTTCAAGCAGAGACAAGGCTAAGCATAACCTTTCTGGGGAAGGATCAATTGATGCTTCTAGAGCAACAGAGGAAGAAGTCACTGAATTTGTGCTTCCAGAAGACAAATTCAGGCCTTCAGTAAGTCTTAGGACTATTGATACCCCTAATCTGACAAGCAAAGCTTCCCAAAAGAACACGATGTCTTTACTGGGGAATATAGACAATGTGGTCACTGCTTCAGAAAATGAGCAGAGTGACCCATGGAATTGTAACTATCAGAGGATAAAAGACCAATGTACAACTGCCACTACTTCCCATATTTTATCAGAGAGGACACATGTAGGTGATGACCTCCCAAACAGTCATTTGTTTAAGGATGAGGTTGAAACGAAGCCTGCAGAAAGTGATAGTCTGGAAGGAGAAGGTTCACTTGGATGTAATAGCAAAGAGCCTGTCAGTTCTGAAGAACACTTCCCTTCAGCAGGTGGATCTGCTCCTTGGGAAGATGAAGTTGAGCTGTCAGATGAAAAAGTTGAGACTCAGCGTTCAGAAAGCTTACACAAACACCCTGTTTTACAAACTTCAGTTACTTCTGTAGAAAACACTAAAATAACAACTGATTCAAGCCAAGGTGAAGAGATGCTCTTAAAAAATGGTGAGAACTTGACTTTGTTAGTTGATAAATGTGTAAGAGAAGATCATTCTCAAGCAACTATAGAAGATAACACAGTGGATTTGGATTCTTTAAATCATGTGGGAAATGCAGACTTTTCAGAATACACGTGCTTCATAGATGAACTAACTGAGGGAAAAACAAATGAATTAAAAGAATCAAAGAAAGCACATGGAAGAGAAGATAAAAGAGCTTTTGAGGAAGGCTTTTATAGCAAAACACATTGCTCACAACATGTTTGTTGTGAGAAGGAGAAGGGAGAGTTGCTAGTGTTCACAGGAAACACAGCACAGAAAACTTCGTCAAAGCCAGAGTGTTTGGTGGGGGATCAAGAAAATACAGTCAATGTCCCATCTTTACCCATCTCCACTGCAATCCATGGGAGTCTTTCAGATAAGACAGAAAACATGAATCTATTTTCAGAGATGGAAAATAAACCAAGTCTTAGAGTAAAATCTATGTTAGAAAACACTCCCCAACAGTTACTGTTGGAGCCTAGTAAAGAAACTCATGTGGATTTGGAAGCACACACAGCTATGAACTTGGGAGTCTCTCTGCCTCAGAAGGAAGAGCGGTGGATGTCAATTGAGAATACACAAACGGAGGAATTTGATTCATCTTCAACATATATTTTTAATGAAGTTTCTTCAGTGACAAAACCTCTTTATGTAACAACATGCGTGAAGAGGAAAGGCAGAACACATAGATATGAGAGCCCATCTGCAGAGCATGGAAAAGCACGTGGCTTGCTGCAGGATGCCAAGAGCTCCAGAGTTTGTCTACAGAGCATAGCAGGACCTACAGGTGACGGGGACGGTGAGCTACCTCTAAAAGACATGGATGTAACTTTACCAGAAAATAATTGTGATGATTGTAGACAGAAGTTTAAGAATTCATGTGTAGAAGATAAAATGGAGAGGGAAGTATCCCCTGGAAAAACATTGCCAATACATTCTACTCTTGATGAAGGAATCAAGGAAAGAATCAATCAGCTCTCGGAAATGATATATGATTGTCAAGCTGAGGATTTATCTGACACAAAACCTTCATCGGAAATGCAGTATGATGCAACACCCATGTTTTTCCCATGTATGAGTACGCAGTCAAGCAGTTGCAAAGAATTGTCCCCAAAGTGTGTCGTTTGCAGGGAAGTATGTGTGCCTTACAACTTAAATGCACAGAGCAAAGATAATAAAAAGGAGATTAGAGAAGGCCAAGACACTATTCCAATTCATTCCGTTTGGAAAGAAAATGAAACTTTCAGGTCAGAGAAACTTGATCAAATAAAGAAATGTCAGGCACTTAAACGAAAGAAAATGTATACAAAGGTGGAAGCACCTTTGTCAGACAAGGCACAAGAACAGAGGTCAAGTTACCAAGCAAAAGTCACACTGCAGCCAAGTGCATTGTCCAACCTGACACTGTTACGCAGCTCTTCAAAGGAGTTGGTGATGTCAAGAGATACAAAGTTTGAAGGTCATTCAAAGGAGATTTTTGCTGTTACAAACAGTGAAAATAAACTACGTAGCACTTTACAAGATGTCAAAAGGCCAAAGATTACTACAGATGTTACTAGTTCACAGGTTTTGAAGAGTCGGGGTTCAGAAGCAGAAAACCTGAGCCTTAATTTAGAGTCCGGCATTAAAGAAGTACTATCCTCTGACAGTTTGGTTTGTGCTCACCATCTACACCCAGAAACTGCATGTGATGAAATCCCTGGTGCCTTTGGAACTACAAATAAGCTAAGAGGACTTCCTCCATTAAAAAAACAGCCTGGAAGGGCGTGCAAAAAGGTTCCTACATCAGAACAACCAAAAAGTGTAAGAAAAGGCAGCAAAATTAGAAGCTCAGCTTCGAAGATTCCCTCCGAAACATTCCATAAGCAGGAAAACCTGCTCCTTAATTCTTTGTACTTTGCATATAAACCAGCAACAATGGAAACGGAAATGGCCACGAGATTGGTGCCTATGCCAAGGCAGAGGGCCAAGAGGAGCAGTTTGCTGAACACCCTCAAATTTAGAAAATGTACCAAAGAACCAGCACTGCTAAACAAGCTGTCTGCAGTGGCCAATAAACTCCTGGCACCTGCCAAAAGCCTCCATGATGTAAAGTCCCTGCCATATTCTTCTGAAATTATTCCAGTGGCTGGGAGGTACAGCCAACGTAGAGCTAAAAATTTATTGGAAGCTTTTTCCTGCATTAACAGGAACTTACACTCACACTGGACTGACAGCTGGTGCACCAAGATGTTCAGCGTTCAGTCTCTGGCACTTTATCCTGTAGAATCTACCAAAATACCTTTTTTAGGCTTGAGCCACAGGTCTCCATCCTCACCCTTGGATACCCCAGTTTTCCCCATTTCTTTTCAAATAAAATTGGACTCAAGTTCTGTGACAGACCTCACGGGGATTGTATCCCAGTGCTCTGTCCATCACAGACGGGTTTGGGGAGAAGCACCAGAACCGCCGTCAAGATGGACCTTCTCTTTTCTCTTGTCTCAGAGCTGTTCAGGTACAACAGCTTCCAAGGAAGATTCCAGTCTGGCTAATGAGCTGCATTCTTCTCGTTCTTTAATAACTCCAGGGGCTGCTGCCCTTCATCCTGACCATGGAAGAAATGCCATAGCTGAAAGAAGAAGAAGTTACTCTATGCTTGGCCTTCAGACAGTGTTAGCACTTTCTTCCCCTGGATGTTACAGGATTTGGACACGACGAAGAACCTTAACCAGTCGTATTCCTACCATCCAGAGACTCTTTATGTCCCAATTCACCCAGGGTTTGAAAGGGGTAAGGTTTGCAACTTCTGTAGCAGATGACCTCTTCTCTTCATTGCCGTACTCGCTGGGCAGGGCACTATCCATATGGAGTCAGCATGGTCCTTCTGCCCGTCCCTCCGAAATCACTCCTCTCCATTCCCATCAGTGCAAGTGGCAGCCAAGTGGGGGCATCGAGAACAGGTAAAACCCATCAACTTCTTTCTGAGAATAAATAAATATAAATATATATGTAGGATACATACTTGCTCCTTTTGGGGAGGGAGAGGGTATTTGGAGCTTACACTGGAGGGTCAGTTTTTTCTGTTCCAAATCTTCACGCTCTGCTCCAAAAATGCCTCGCCATGGAAGATTCTTCCCTACGGAACAGTTTGTTAGTTGAATTTAAACAGATTTGCATTGGCTTCTTTAATACTCTCCTCTTTTGGCAGAGTGGCTAACTATATTTTCTTCTCCCTTGCAAAATATACACCCCATGCATCAGAAAATATAATGCAGAAAGGTGAGCTCCTTCTTTAGGTCTATTCAGAGTGACTGCAGAGCAACTGGATTTCTGAGGTAGGAAAGTTTCTTTTTCAGAGGTCTCAGCCACAAGTGCTACTTGAACTACTACACAATGCTCAATATCACATTAGGAAGAATCCTTATTGGGGGGCATCATTAAATTTTGAATTGTTCTGTGGCTGGTCTGTGTTAACTGTAACCCCTTCATACCTTGATGGCATCTTTGTTGGCACAAGAAAGCGTAGCTCCATTGCAGGTTGGTAAAGGATATTGGTGTCTGTTACTCCCAATACCAGTGCAAAGAGCAGTGAAACCTACGTTGCATATTTAAGTTATCTTTGTTATCTGCATCTGAGACATGGGGCAGTTCAGTGCTCAACTCTGCAGTCTTGAGATTCCTGAACAGAGTATAATAAGCTCATGAGCACTGCAGAAAAGGCCATTTCATTAACTCCTTTCTTCAATAATTATCTCTAAAGGATTGCTGAATTGGCTTGTCTGCCTCCCAATTTGATATACGTAAAGCAGAAAACTTGCCAGATAACTAATGCCATGTCTTGTTTTGTGGAAATGGAGAATTTAGCCAACAGCCTAAGTAATTAGCCTGCTAATTTAAATTCCATTGTACACCAAAGGTTTCAGTGAGCTAATGAAAGAACTACTCCCTTCTGCAAGTTCTTTGCATTAAAAGAATGAAGTTGAATAATTTCCTGTAGGTCCCAGTGGTTTTGCAGGATGCTCTGTTGCATTTTTTTTCTGCTTTATGCAAGACAATAATTCAAGCTAAACTTCGTGGTCTACAGATTAGTGCTCTGGAAGTAATCAGATCAGTAGACTTCAACTATCAGTAAGCTGAGCAGTAAATTTAAGATATTGCTGCCATTCATCAAAACAACACTCTTTTAAGACATCTATGAATGAGATAAATAGATTATTTTTAATTGTTAAGGCATGTTACCCTTGGACTGGAGCTGCTTTATGCTGTTATTTCCTCCCAAACTTATGTGAAGGGACTGCTGTGCTAAAAAAAAATCCTGTTCTTTCTACTGCCAGTAATGAGGCTTCTTTAAGTGAAAGCTGTCTTTTTTGTTTACTTTTTTAAATTCAAATTACTAAAGTGGTTTTGTTTTCTTCTCCTGCAACTTCTTTGTACTGCATAAAGCAAAGAGCTCTGCCTCTAGCAAGGAGGACTCTAATGCACCCTATGGGTGCAGAATCCAGTAGTTCTGGGCTAGTGACTGAAACACTGAAAGAAAAAAAGCTTTGTAATTCTGATGCTAAAAGACAAATGCAAGAAATCAGTTGTCCTGATTTTCTCATATACTGTCTTAACTGTGCTCTCAGCATGGTTAGATTTCATTTATTCTGTAGCATTTTGATCTGAATATAACTTCTTTGCTTTCAAAGAGTGACCTACTGACTACAAAGAGTACCTGTTAATTTAGGAGAGTAGCAAGTACAAAATGGGCTGCTCAGTACTAGAGCCAACTGACCATTTGTTCTTGCTGTTAATGGCATGGGGAAAAAAAGCAGAGCTTAAGCTTCAAGGACCCAGAGCTGCCATGCTGTGTTTTATTTCACAGCATTATGGTGTTTACCAGCTGTTATGGAAATGGTTATTCCCATCAATTAAGAGTATTCCAGTAAGAGCATGAGATCTAGAGATGACTCTGGGTTAATCCTGTGGGAGTCTTCCTTATACTTGGTATTTTTGCCAGCACACTGTTTTCTCCTTAGTAGCCAAATCCTTTAAAGATTTTGGTTACTTCTTTTTGTTTTTTAATGGAGTTCTTGAATAAAGAAACTAGGCTTTCATGGAAATAACTTCCATTTTCAGACTAACAGTCTCCCTCTCCTTCTGTATTCATTTCTTATTATTACCACTTTAAGGTGAAAACAGGAGTATTTCCTTAACAAGCTGTCAGTGTATTCAGTTATTAGTAGAGCAGCTTGATCTTGTATTATTTTAGTCTTTCTTCTTCCCATTCCTGAAATCAGCATCTTAGAATAAAGTTTATACTAAGAAATTTCTCTCTCTCTTGTTATGGTGTTGATCTAACTTGTGTCCTTGTTTGCCTGTTTGTTTTAATTCTCCTTTTAAACCAGCTGTGCCCTGTTACCACGCTTACCTGTTCAGAGGACAGCAGCTCTGCAGGCAGCCGCTCATGAGATAGGGTGAGTCTCCTGGCTTTGATGTTTATCCTGAGTAGGGCTTCCTCAAAAAGAGATGCTCTCTGGGTCACTCCTTGCTCTCAGTTTTTGGCAGTTCACTTCAAGAGCAGCTTTGTGATAAATTTTTGGTGAATTAAACTGACTAGTTAACAGAAAGGATAAGTGTTCATTTACAGGAAACACCACCCAGATCACTGTGCAGAATTCTGTTACTTTTCAACTCTGTTGCAGCACTGATTGTGCAATGAATATCTTTGAAACTGTATGATTTTGTTGATAGGTATATATTCTTTCCATTTGAGTACCTGGACAGTAAGCATTAATATAAGCGTTAATAGTTCCTTCTGTTGTTTGCCGGTACAGAAGGGCAGATATAGAAGCTATCTTGAAAATTTATCTATGAATAAAAACTGCTCAACAGCTGTGCAAAAGAAATTGGCTGATAGAAAAGGAGGACTAACCACTTCCTTTGGTAGTTACTATAAAGTGCTGTAAACACTTTAACTATGTGGAAAGAGGAAAAAAAAAATTGTGGTTTTAAAATAGAATATACTGGCAATTTAGGTTGTATCAGTACCAGTGAGGACTGGAGCAGCTCTAGGCTGTATGCAGGTCCCGGAGACAGGTAGAAAGGTTCATTTGGGCAGCTTCTTGAACTGCTTTTGTGCCCATGCTGCAATTTAGGAACACTGCCTGACAGCACAAAATGTTTCCACTGCATAAATGAGGTATCAATCTACTAATTTTTTTCCTCTTTTTCCTCAGTTATAGTCTAGGACCTTCATTCCCTCTTCCATTACCAAAGCCTTGCTCGCTTCCAGAACCGTCGTCATCTCCCCTCAGGCTTTCATCACGGGAGCTTCAGGTCCCTGCCTTTGATGAAGCTGATGCGTCTGTTCCAGCCTGTCTTAGATCCCAAGATGACACAGACCTGAAAAAAGTGAGTTTGGTTTTTTTTTTTTTGGTCTACGATGCTGGAAACAGACAGTCATAGTTATTAGTTATTATAGTTACTAGTTATTATAGCATTATCATATTGTGAACAACAGCTGTTACTGCTTTTAGAGCTGTCAACCACAAGGACCTGAAGTTGCTGTTGAGGCAACGTATCTAGTTAGTGCTGAAGGCCAGGAGAGAGAACAGGCTCCTAGTCCTAGTCTGTGTAGCTCCTTTCTTTGTTTGAAGCAGAGAGAAAAGGTGGCGAAACAGAGGAATAGGAAAAACTTCTTCATAGGATAATGTATACTCTAGATAAAGGGAATTCTCTTAGCTAGCAGGGTAATTCGATTACTTCTTTTACTAAATTGACTTTTTTAAAATTTTTTTATTCTTTTATTTTTAAGATTGAGCCAGAAAAGAGGCCAAAGAAAGTCTCCCAGATCCGAATCCGGAAAACTGTTCCCAAGCCAGACCATAACCTTACTCCTATGGGACTACCCAGACCAAAAAGGTGAGCAGTATCTTTTAATTTGCACTGTTTTGTACACTCCTAGTTGAGCAATGCCTCGTGCTTGCTTCTTTTATAAGGAAAGATCGAGACCTCACTGCTACGACTCTGTAAAAGACTGGATAGGGCCATAAGTCTTTGAATATAATTTCTTTCAAATGAGAAAGTGTAAGTAAAAGTCTACAGCATTGGAACTACCAACTTGTTTTTAAACAGAACATGAAACTCTAAGCTGCAATGGAATGATTTTATAAAGAGTTAGAAAAACTGAGTAATTCTTATTTAGTTCAAGTAAATAAATGTACATTAAAATATCAGTATTCCTACTCAGCACAGAGAGGTGAAGTGACCTGTCAGGAAGTTTTCCTGATGCAAATGATGATTGGAGCTCTTCATAATCTTTAATTGCTTATGGAATATGATTTTACAAAAACATTAGCTCAGGATAAATGTGGGTAGTCACAGAGCCAGATGGTTATTTTCAATGCAGTCAGTCATCCTGTATTTTGTTCACTTTAGCTCCTGAGTGGAAGTGCCAGTTTTGGTAAAGCAATACGTTTCTTCAGAGATCAGCTTGATAATTTTAAAGTATCAATAACTAACAATTAAAATTGGTCTCAAGAAATAAATTTTGAACTTCGTTATTTAAAACATCATAGAACGCTAGGAGGAGCATTCTCTGCAGAAATGGCAAGTCTTGACTCAGGCCTTTTCAAACGTGCTTTGAATGGTACTTATGACCTAATCTTTCATTTCTTTCTAGCCCTAATTAGAGCCTAAATCTGTCTTTTAAATTAAAGTTTAATTACTTAGTGTTTACAGACAGTAAACTGTACCTGGTAAATGTGCTTGCTGTGAAAGGAGATGGTTTTGAAATTATTTCTTCACTGCTTTGTTCATTACTTTCTCAGGCTTAAGAAGAAAGAATTTAGTTTAGAAGAAATTTACACAAACAAGAACTATAAGTCTCCTCCTCCGACCAGGTTGGTTGTGCTCACTAATGAGAACTGAAGATATCTGCAAATTAATTAGGCAGTGGTAGGAGACTAAGGTATCTGGAATTTAAGGAGGGAGATACACTTGACATTTTTTTCTAGTTCAGAGTGGTTAGTTAAAGGAAATTAGTATTTGAATAGAAAGCAGTGAAGGAGGATATGAACTAAGAATTCTGCCATTGTATGAGTTAAGGTTTGTGTATTTTTTTCATCTACTCATTCATTCAGTGTCCATCCACATATTTTTATTTAATTCTGCACTTGATAAATGCAAAGACAACTAAATAGTCTAAAAATCACAGAAGTAACTGCAATGAACTACATATTGCATGAGTATCAAGATTGCTACTTACTCAAGTAAAAATACTTGAAGTACTTTTTTTAAAAAAAGAAAAGTCCATAACACAAGTGTGTTTTTTCTATACTAAATATTTGCAATTGAAATAAGGACACAAAGAGGTTCAACTCAGATGTCTCCGCACTGCTAAGAAATTATCTAGTTAGGAGTATAAACGTGCAAGTGTTGGAAGTGTAAGCTGTAGATAAACGTGTATGTAGAAAAGTAAAAGTTGGAAGCGTGTTTACCTGGTTTCTGAAGTGCTTGCAAGGTTGTTAACTGCATCCTGAGTCCTACCCTTTGCTTTTACCAGGAGCCTGGAAACAATCTTTGAAGAGCCCAAGGTGAAAAATGGAGTCTTGATCTCTGTCAGTCAGCAGAAGAGGAAGCGGATTCTGGAGTTTCAGGACTTCACTGTTCCCCGAAAGAGGAAGGCACGAAGCAAAATCAAAGCAGTGGGTAGCTTCACCCGAGCAAAAAGAGCTGCACTGCAGGGTGCAGAGCTAGATGCTCTTCTGATTCAGAAGCTGATGGACCTTGAAGCCTTTTTTGCAAACGAGGCTGAGCACGAGGCAGCCTCCAGCAGCTGAGAGGCGAACAGCTCGAAATGAATCAGCCAGCTCCTTTCATGTTTTAGTCCACTGAGAAGACATCTACCTGCTTCTTCATACCTTACTCTACCACTCAGTTTTAATATGTAATGATCAGTTACTGGCTGTGGACCTCTTTAAGGTGCTATTTTTTTTTTAATGCTAGGAGAGGGATTCTCTGAAGACCCTATGTGAGCGTAGCACAGCCCCGCGTGATTCACCCTTCCTTGCTTAACGTCTGGAAATGATGGCTAATATTTAATTATGTTTTTTAACACCTCTTGAGGGTAGAGTAGGCGTATAAAGGAGGAAGTAGTGCTCCTTCAGTGATGCTAGGACATTTTACTCCAGAACATTTGCACATTTGAGTCTGCTGTGGTTCCTATAGTCACTATCTTGAACAACCTGAGAGAAGAGGGTGTTTGACAAGGATGAATTCTAGTAAACAAACTCTTGATATACCACTAACTTTTTAATAATTAAATGTAGCCGTCTGAGTTTGCTTCCGATTGTTTCTTCCTTCTGTTTACTTAGAAGGTTTCTTCTAAGTTTCTGTGCCCTTCCTGCCTGTAGGCAGCAGAAGCCCCACATGACTAGGACTTTAAATAACTTGCACTTTGTATGTGTTTCCTCGGTTGCTGCATGAGGACGCCTTTCAATGTGATGCATCTCCAAAAAAGAAAAAGTATTTTAAGAAAAAATGGTGCCCGATGCTAATTTCTCCCCAAAAGCACAGTGAATTTTTACATAATTTGCTGGTGCTTTTACCTCTTTTCCAGAGGCAAAGGTAAGTAACCCAGAAGGATGTTAAGCTACAGGACACTTAAGTACAGGTTTTTATTTAGCTGAGCTGCTGCTTGCAGACAACACCAGCAAAAACATTGAAAGTTATTTATAAGTAATTTTAATTCCGATAAAAATATTGATTTGATTTTAATGCCAATAACAAAACAGATTTTTTCCACTGGAGTGGGGGAAACCTTTTTGCTGTCTTTTTACTGCTTTAGGTTTACAATTTATATAGCTCATAATTAGATCTCTGAACAGCATTATTGTATATAATAGCTAATGTACAAAAAGCCTCCTAGCATGTGGAAAGTATTTCTTTCAATATGTAAGACCATTTGTGACAATCTGCTGCAGTACTGGGCAATTTCCTGGCCATACCTTTCTGAGGGAAGAGTACTCCCTTCTGGGATAATTTCTGTTAAAACTTACTTGAAGCGTAATGCAAAATGAATACTGGCTGCAGTTCAGGTAATTTCTGTCCTTTAGTGCCTATAGAAGTTATTCAGGCAGAGCTTAATGGGATGGCTGTCATTGCTGGGATGCTCAAATAGTCCATTATTTCTTTCACTTGTCACTTGAAATTTGCACTTTCTTATATACTTCCCTATAGTGGAATTCCTTTACCTTCAAAAAGAGCATGGGAGCGAAACATCTAGCAGGTGGGTATTCTTAAGTCCCAATGAATGCAGGACTGAAAATATCATCATTATCTTCTGTTGCTCTGTTATACCTAACAGAAAACACAAAATTAACAAGCAAGCTGTTGAATTCCAGAGCTTTGAAAGTAAGGAAACGGAAGCAGAATATACCCTTGTGTGTGCCTGAGTCTTGACAGAAATGTATTCTGGATTATTTTTTTCTCCTAGTTTATGTGCTGAGATTCCTAGAAGTTTACATTCTTGTTCTGGAGGTTAATTACCTCGAATCAGGAAGAACAGATGGAAGTACAGACATGCAGTAGTGCTGTTTGTATCTGAGGAGATAAAAAAACAAGGCAGGCAAACTTTGAGCATACTGACATACTACCAGCTGCCTGGTCTGGTGAACCTATTTGGGCTGCTGTATAACATTTGATCTCCTTTATTTTTCAGGGATTTCTTTTTATAAAATTTTCTCGCCTGGAGGCCTTGAGGTCAACTGCTTTTACTATATATATATATATAAAATATATATATATATTTAAAACATTCCCTATATCTGTTTGTTGGCCCAGATATTGACTAGCTGGAAGCTGCAGTAGGCATGATACTTATACATAATGTTTTTATGCTGTAAATAGGATTGCAGCACAGCATTCATTCCTTTCCTGTTATGGGAAGTTTCTAGTGCTGTGACAGACCTGAGCTGCAGCTTTGCACCAAACAAGGGCCCGGATGGGGAGGGAAGAAACTTGGGTCCAAGCAGAGTTCAGTTGGCTAAAGTGCTTTCAAAGATGGAACTTTCTTTGGGGTTTCTTTTGTCTGCTCCCTTGTTCTGTCTCCTTTCTGGCTGCTTTGAGGTTCTTCTCAAACCTTCTTAGGTTTCTTAACAGCTACAGGAGAGAGAGCAGAGCAATGAAAATACTTGCTAATTGGAGGAATTGAGAAAATGTTGTAATTGCCTAACATGTCCCAAACCGTAGAGTTGTGGAAGTCCAAATATACAGCATTATTCTGTTTTGTTTTAGTATTTGTATGATAGAGATTTAAGCTAGTTGAGGCAAAGCATCTTGTTTTTCCTCCCCGCCTCTCCAGCATACAGATGCTAATCATGCTTGTTGGCTTCCTCTTCTTCATCTCTCGCCGCTGCTTCTATTTACAGCACTTGTGGAACAGCTTTGTTCCATTTGTGGCTGGAGCCTGTACCCTGGGAATGATGACAGTGCAAAAGCCAAGTACTTGCCACCGAGCTGCTTTTGTCACAGATCATCCCAGACCAAACATATAGAAAATGCATCTTTGGGGGTCCTGCAGCCTTCCTTAGCAAAGGACATGTAAACTTGCCTTTTCACAAAAGGACCCAATTTCTGCAAGGATCCTTCTGCACCATCATGGTTAAAAAAAAGCCCTTGTACATAGTGCTCACAGAACCATGACTGGAGCAGCTTGAGGAAAAATTGCAAAGCTTTTGCTCTGTATTTTCTCTTAGCAGGGAGCTTTGCAGAGCCAGGCAGCTTTTTGATAAGTTTGCTGATTGTGGGAGAGGGAGGGAAGTCCTTTTTAAAAAAAGCTGTTTCTTTCATCATGCTGCAACTGGAGCAGCAAAGGCTACTTAATGTGTTACAGAGTTTGCCTGACTGTTCTTGGGGCTGTGTATGTTTGAGTTCAGATGCTTGCTGGTACAATTTTCTGCAAGCTGTTCTCATTTATTGTGTTTTGAGTTGAATTGGACCTTTGGTATATTATGTCAGCTGCTTTCCTAGAACGTGGATACCTGTGTGTATTAAAAGCCTATTTGATGCTATCATGTTCACAAATAGCTCAGTGGGAATTTGTATACCTGTGCCACTGGCCTCCATCATGCTCTTGGCAGTTTGTTTCTGTTCAGTAGTGTGTGAATCTAAAATATCACTGTTTCTTTTGTGTGTGTTTTTAATTTATGGAAATAAATTTTTTTTTTTCTGAGAGATTTTTTCTGTAAAGCCTTTAGGTCTGTATCATAAATGACACGTGGTGTTTCTGGCTCACTAAGGGGGACAGGGTCAAATCTGTGAAGAGACCATCGACACCATTAATGATGTGGGCCGTAAGGAAGTGAAGCAGGGAGTTTTGAGTTGTCTGTAGAAAAAAAAAGAGGTGAGGGATCTGAAGCACAATCCTAACTGCTACTACAGTGTGGAAGACAGCATTTATCCCTTAAGGCATGAGGGAAGGAGCAGCCAGACAGCAGAGCTTCGGCTCAGTTCCATACCAAGGGACACAGCCAAAGCAGGACACCGATTCCTGTAGTACAGACAGCGCATGGCATCAAGCTGAGGCTTTTAAAGCAAACCCAAAATACTAGGACTTCATAAAAGGCCTCCGTGAGCATCTCTGATGTTCATGCTAGACAGCAATCCCCCCTCTAAACCTAACTAAGCCCCTCTACCCTAGGTTTCCACACAGAGCATGTTCAGGCAGCTCTGAGGAAAACCAAGGTGGCAGCTGAAGGTCCTTGCCGTGGCCTCCTGAACCCTTTTCCCATTGAGCTGTGCTGTCCCGGGACTCCCACAGAGGGCGTGGAAGCTCCAGCGAGGAAAGGCAGGGAGGCTGCAGAGGCCTCCACGAGGTCCCTGCTGCTCCCCGGCTCCTTCCTGCTGCAGCAGCACAGCTCGAGGGTTGGCTCATTCTCACACTTGGACTCAGCTATGTTTGCCTTATATTTCTCACCTCTCTCTAAAACGGGGGAAGTTGGTGAGCTCAGTTCCAAGTGCAGGGATGAAGCTGGTAGCGGTATCAGCTAAGACGAGGGGGAGCTCAAACCAACACCTTTGTGGCTGCTCAGAATGAAATCCTCATTTTTTGCCTCAGAGTGGAGAGAGGGGCCAGTATAAGTCACACCAATGTACCAGGAAAGACAAGGAATTGTTTTAAAACACCTGCTCTCAGGAGAGTATTTTGCAACCCACTATTCTTGACTACTGCTGTCTAAAACACTCAGACTATTTTTTCTTGTCTTACATGGCAGGTAACATGGCTCCTACAGTTTCTATTTGCATTTTGGCTAGTGCCTGTCTTTACTATTTGCATCTTATTCCTTACTAGCTAAAGTTAATAAAACTGCAGTAGAGGTAGTAAAGGCTGGAGTAAAGAACTTTCTGATTTATATGTATTTGGTAGAGCTCAGGTGAACACGGGAGCAGAAGGATGCAAACTGAAGTGAACCCTGCCCATGAGTAGCACCCACTCTAATTCCCCATCTGCTACCTCTGCATAATGTTTTCAACCTAAAGTTCAGACAAAACAAATCCATGATACGCTTTGCTCAAAACAACATTGTATTGTGTTAAAACATTGTATTGTGTTCTGCCTATTAAGAATGTTGAGCTTAACTCATAATTCATATTGTGACACTTCAGAAATAACCTACAAAGGAATGGCTGATGTTTGACAAGAATGGAATATTCACTGTTTTTCTCACCTTAAAGTTGTAAGAACCCAGTTCTGATGGTTGATGCTACTAGATGCTTTCATACATTAATTTGTGAAAGAAAAGCATGTTAACTTACTAGTATAAATTTTTGGTTAAACAAAGCAAATATATATTCTTCACTGTTAAAAACAGAAAAAAACTATTGATACTGATAGCAGTTACACACACAACCTATAGTATGCATGTGTATTCAGCATGGACTGTCTCACTGCAATGAAAGACACTCATATAGAAGACAATGCTACAGCAACCAAAGTGACCACTAATTGCTGTTCCAAAGAAACAGGTTTTTTTAAGACATAATAGGAAAAGCAAAGAAAACTGCTACCTACTAACCTGTGCAAGTCTTGATAGTCCATATTTTAGTCCATGCTTGTCCTGCTTGTCCCACAGAAATGCTGAGATGACCTCAGTAGCAGTTTCAAACTGCTGGCCCTACTCCTGTGCATGAGCTGGGTGGATGGGCCTGTGCTGCTCCCCACAGTGCCAGCCTCCAAAAGATAGTGATGATAAGAGCCTTAGAATACAACCATAAATATGAAACCTGCCTACATATATATGTAAATATATAAGAAGTATTCAGCATGAATTTCTAGAGCTGACTGTGTCCTCCACGATTGCTCTGGGTAGGTTGGACTTGCATCTTTCCTTGTTTCCAGCCTCAGTAAGGGTGTATGTGCCTTGTAAAGCTTCTGTACAGCCGTCAGTTCACTGAGGATGCACAGATATCCTGTCTGCAAAAGTCTAAGATACCTACAAATCAGTAAGAAAATAGATAGTGCTGTTAGCTTTACAAATGACCAACTCTTCAGATGTTATTCAAACTACTGAGGTAATATTCACTAAAACAGAACAGAGGTAAAATTCCCCATCTGAATCTCAATTCTTTAACAACCTCTATACTGATCCACAGAACTCCCAGGACACCTAACGTGCTTTATAATCATCATTTACTTCAATATAGATTTTCAGGTGTCAGAACAACGTGATCCTGGCTCTTTTTACATTAGCAGTTTTCACTTCTAGTGATAGGTAAATGCATGCTTGACACAGCTTTCAGGGGAGAATAATGAACAATCCTTCAAGCTTTGAGTTCTTTAGTGTACTCTTTTTAAACAGGAAATTAATCTTGAAATAACTTATATTACAATAATTAAATAGGAAATTGCTCATCTTTTTCCTAAACTTGCCATACCCAAATAAACATTTTGTTCCCTTATGCCAGAATTGATCTTTGGAATTGAAGAAAAAAAAAAGAGGAAATAAAACAGTCAGTTAACTTCTGTTACTTCAATTAAGTGGTATTTGCTTTATCATGTGCCCATTATACTGTCCCTGTGGCACTCCCATATTCATACTTATGGATAGAAATTGCAAGAGGTTCTTTATAAGCACTGTACTGCTTGGAAAATAGTTACTAACAGAATTATGTAGAAAATAATTCTTTATTCAGTGTAAACAAAAGGCCAATAAGCGGGGAACAGAAGTCTCCCTGCTTGGCATTTTTCTCTAACTCAAAACAAAGAACTTAATTTACCTGCAGGTGTACAATTAAACACTGATTCTGCCAGCTGGAAGAAAGACTCCCCAAGGATTTCCTTATAGTTCATGTGACTTGCATGGACAAGGTACCGAGTAGCATCCTTGAAAAGCAGATCACTCTCACCATACTTCTGGGACTGGAATAGATGGAATTCAGAGCCCAGCTTGGTTCTCACAGATTCCTAAGCAGAAAAGAAAACTGAAGGAGTTTCACAGCTTGGAATGCCAACAGCAAGGTTAACTTGGTGAACTCTCACTATTGTAACAGCATCTTGCGGAAGAAAAGGTACTTTCACCTGGCATTGCCCTTATTTATACAAAAAGATTTTTTCAGTTTGGCATCTGTGTCTTCTTCACTTCAGAGAAGCAGCTGGTGCCAAAATTTCCCTATTTTCTCAATCTCTGAAACACATTCTTTTTTTTTTAATATTGGACCCAAAGGCCCTTTATGTATTTAGTACATAATGCTTCTGATCTTAAAAGTGGTTTTCAGAAGATGTATAACAAGTGATACATCCCCAGCATTTTCCCCTGGGATTACCTGGGATTTCATTAGGAAGTCATATATTTTGGTGATGCTGACAGGTCGAGTCATGACTGTGCTGGGGGGAATGGGGCCAAGGTTACAGCCTGACCACTCAGTGACTGCAGCACGGCTTCCATCCAGGCACAAGAGCTCAAAGTCACTGGGACTATAACCTTTGGCCCAACCAGAGCTGTCCAGATCTGCAAAGATGATGGAAGTAAAAGCAAATCCTGTTGAAAAACAAAAGCTGGAGATAGTGTGAATCTCATGCAAAGTTTCACTATTGAAAGGAAAAAGTTCAGTGGATGTGTTCAAAAAGTCTGTGCAGCACACTACACTCGGCTTTGCTGAGGAAATATGTCAGGAAACTTAAAAACTGGAATCACAGCAAGGCATACAACAAAATATTATGCCTCATCTTCACCTGTAGTAAGATGAGTACCTGAAAACAAGGCAATAGAGCTTGCACACTTTTTGCTTCCCAATACAAATTGCTCACTGCTGCATGGATTTTTGTGGGCTTCCAGTTCCTCATAACCCCACTCCATTTCACAGTCTCCTTTTTTACAGTAGTCTCTCTCAGCTAATGAAACTGCGTATGTTGAAATCACACCATATGCATTATCTAACTGAATAAAACAGGGCCTTCTTTCTTCCTCATCTCTATGAAAATGGTAACACATTAAGACATTAAGAGCAGTTAAATTAGTAGTAGAGATTGTGGGAACTTAAACTGCAGGAATCACAGATATTTTCATCCACAAAATCCAGCTGCTAATCTGTTGCAAACTGTCAGTATTTCCCAGCGGAAGTCAAACCTTTCCCAGCGTAGTAACACAAGCTTCTTTAGGAACTGTGAAAGGCAAAATAGTTTGCAGTGATTTTACCTATTAAGCTATTTGGACTACTTATCCCATGACCTCTTGTGAAACAACACGAGGCAGCTGCAATGTCATGATGAAGCCATAGAGTCACCCATGGTATCTGCCAATTTGCCACTTTCCTTCCTTTTTGATTAAAAACAAGGTTAAGGACATCATAGCTACTTATGAAAAAAAAGGATTGATTTGAAGAGTCTCTTGCTTTTTCTCGTGCTTTGGAAAGCACTGAGCGTTCCAAAAACCAGCACAGTTTCCTAGGATGCTTTCCACATCCTTGATTTTTGCACTCAGCGATTCTTCATTTTTCTGAAACTAAACAGTATTTGAATCTTAAGCTTTACTAGAACACATACATGCAGGAAGGTTCTTACAAGGTTCCTGTCACAAACACAGCTTTTTGAATCTAGATTAATCTTGTGGAGGCTGATGCCTAGGAATCACAGTCACTGTGCAGGAAGAAACTGGCACTTATGAGTATTCTCAAAGGAAAAGAGAACAACTGCATCTCACTCCTTATGTTCCGGAGCAGGTTAGAGTGTTCCAGGAAAGCTACATCTCCATAACTCCTTCCACTGGGATTGCCAACTAGACACCTACAACAGGGAAAAAATAAAAATAAAAGTAGTGACAGCCATTACAACATGATGGAACATCTAAAGCTAAAAAGGGAGTAGACGGTAGTATTCTCTTCATGTGAAGTTACTTGGTCATCGTATAAAACAAATCAGCAATGCTGGTACAGATCTGGATGGACAGTGTTTACACTGTTGGTCACAAATAATTATATGCCTTCTTTTACAATATTATACAAATAATTATATGCAATTGACTGCATGCAGAGACAAGATAGTCCATTTTATGCTTTAAAGCAGCTTCCAAATCAAAGTTCTTGCACTGTGTCTGTGCAGCACCACCTGTGCCTATGAACAATCCACTGAACTAAATCTATGACAGGTATTCTGACAGTGCTTTCACCTTTAAAATTCTCTGTCTCTGTCTCTAACTATTTCACATAATTTTTGTAAATTTCAAATCAATATAATCACCTCCTCTATCCTCACTGCTTCTTGCCACATCACCTCTTCTCTCTGAATTTGTGTTTTTCATCCATTCTTTTAAATGGGCCAGCACCAAAATTTCATGCCTAATATATTTAGAAGCATTGTCTTTGAAAATAGTTTTATAACTGCTTTAAATGACCAATCAACAGCACATTCCATAGCAACTGCAATTAAAGCAAAATATATATTAGCAAAAACACAACCACCAGCTTAAAAATCCTCCACATAAAACGATTAACAAAATAATAACCCAATACTGACTATTATTCATTTCTGACCAAGATCACAAGGTTACCTGAGAGCTCCCACATTGCCATAGTAGAGCTCATTGTGGTTGGCAGTGCATCTGCTAGCTGCTCTGCCCCCTTCCAGCTGGCTGTCCCCAACGCACACCTTGCACAGGTTCCCATCTGCTCCTGGCATGCAGCCCTTCCAAAAGTAGCTCTGAAAAGCTGAGCAGGGAAAGCTGAGGTGAAGTTAGGGCAAGGCATTCAAAGCCTCTTCATGCCAAAAGCCTGAAGGGGTTCCTTCTAAGAGCAGTGAGAGGAGGCCTGAATAGTGTGAGGAACCCCATGTACTCAGGTAAGAGGAGGAGCTGCTTCAACAGCTGAGCATGTATCCTCAGAGTCTGCAATCCCTTTCTGGTCAAATTAGTAATGATTTCTTTCCTGAGTGAGGGAAAATGTCAAAGTAATAGAACTAAGCACCCCAGGAAATTCAGACAGGCTGCAGGGAGAGGGATTTTAACTGGGTCATACAGCAACATCCTTATTCATAGCTTCATTTGTGGAAGTGTTAAATAGCAACATGGAAGATAGCACTTTTTTTCTATGACTTGAGGGATGGGGATGGGATACCATCCTCATGTTGTTTGTATTATGATATAAAGCCCAATCCAATAATTATATTTCCATAATACAGACCTATTGATCTAGTTGTTGATATTATTTAATCAAAGCACAGAAAGGGAGAGAGCTACTTGTTTCTGTTATCTTTATGTTAAGCACTGTTGACGTGTTGACTCTGGTACCTCTATTGTATATGGTGTATCTCCATGTTAAGGAACAACACAAGTGGTCTAAGAGAAACCTGCTACTAAGGAGAGAGTTTTAACTCAAAAACACAGTATGGGAAAGACAATTATCTTCAGTGACATGCAAGACTGAAGTTATTCTCTGCCCTCATGGCCCCATCTCCATTTTACACCCACATCTCAGACTTCAGATTTCAATGGTCTTTCTGACAGATGGCACAAAGCAGTTCCTTACTAGAGTCAATGTCACAGTTCTCAGTGTCATTCTCCAGGGCTCCCACTGTGTATCTGGAAAGAAGCAACCAGCCCGCAGGACTGTACAGATGGCTGTGGCAGGACCGCCTTCCCCCAAGGCTACGGATGTTAATCTGCTTCGCACTCTTCTTCGCTAGGGCCACAGCATAGACAGGAGACAGGGCTGTGAAAAAGATGTTAATAAACAGTTCTAGTAAGGAAAGGGAGTCTCAGGCAATTACAGCCACATATCTTTAGTTTTAGTAGAGGATCTGCACTCTTTGATCAGCCAAAAAGCTCTTGTTTGTGCAGCCCTACGTTTCATATAAACTTGCAACTGAACAATATAGCAAGTACTTTCCCAAACCAGCGTGCAAATACATGCAAATATACAACCTAGAGGCAGCCTCAGGAGAAGCTGAAACCTTTTACCTTTGCGTCCAAGACGAATTAGTTTCCATGTTTCCTCTGTGTTTTCAGTGTCTGGGGCACATCCCTCCCCTGGAGAGGCAAGACAACCTTAAGGATCTTGCAACAACTGCTGTCATTCCTATTAGCACCCCAACTGAAACCTTTATGATTTTACTGTCTTTCCCTTGTAGCACATCAGAATATTTAGCCCCCTTTATCAAAAAAAAAGTAGTCAGGACAAATTCTAGAACCAGGCAGTGGAAGGAAAGAGTATTTGGATGACAAATCCCACTTCCCTGCTTCAGTCCTAAACACTGCACACCATGGCATAATAACCACATTTTTTTACAGTGCTTTCTTGATTCTTTCCTTTCTTCCTAAGGTCACATGAGAACTCACCATAACACTCTGCAGCTACAGGCACCAATCCACACTTTCCTGCAATATAGACATGTGTTGCATCCAGGGTGACTGCATCAGCCTCACTGCTCTGCCAACAGCATTACAGAAAATAACATAAACAGGATGTACATGAGCTGGTGTAACCAAGGAGCTGTTATTTCCCTACAAACTGAGAATTCCCCGCACAAATTCCCTCTCATCCCCATTAGTGTTCAGTGTACAAACTGTTTTTCCTCTTGTTTGGATCAGATGAGGACAGACGAAGGCCCAGCCTTACAAGGCAGTCTGACCACAGGGAGCCTCCTACCTTGATCATCTCAATGCAGTGTGTCATGGAGGTTGCCTGGACACAAACCAGCGGGTAAGACCTGACGCTCAGGGCCCAGTGCTCACATTTGCGAAGCTCAGCAGCACTGATGCAGCACCAGCGCACAACGCTGTTGTCCAAAGAACTCCCTGCACCAGAGGCAAGGAGCATAATGAGATCACATCCATCCATGCACCAATCTGAGCATCACTAAGGGTTTGGATTTATTCACTTGGGCCTAGAAGGAAGGGGAAACGTGGAGAAGGAATTCTTTTTCCCTTCCTTAGCTATGGTCCTGAAAAAGGTTTCTCACCTTCATGGCCTAGTCCTTTAAGGAGAGCTACATAATCCAGACCAAGGACATAGGGAATCTCTAGGTGCTCCTCAAGAAGCTGCAGGTGCTGAGTGGCATCCTGAAACAGCAGGTTCTTTCCCCCATAGGGTGCAGAAGCAAAGAGCTCAAATCGGGCCCTTTCCTTTCCTTTTCGTCCAAAGAGGTTCTAGGAGAAGAACAATGCTTTAAATTACAACAGATCTCCACTTCCAGTGCACAATTCTTCCCCTAAACAGCCAATTTTTAGTACTTTGTGCAGAGCAACTGCAGATTTCTTAAGAGAAAAGGCAAACTTTATGGTGAATTCCACCCAAGGTCATAAAACAGCATCATGTCTAGAGATAAAGAGTTTATAATATCTAGTCACCTGGATCATAGTAAGGAATTTGCTGGTGATCTTCTGGAAGTTGTGGCGAGCGATGATGGCATGACCAGGCCCCCGACCCAAGTTACAGGTGCTGTATTCACTCAGCTCGGCTGTGGTCCCATCAGGACACAGGAGTTCATACTCCTCTTGTTCTCTCTCTAAAGCAACAGGACATGCATGAAATCTATGAGGACAGACATGACTTGGCAGTAATCTACAGGAACGGAAGGTAAAAGGTTTTTCAGAGGAAAACCTCTCTTTGAAAGGCTCCTTCCTTACCAAACAGAGGGATCTCAGCTACAGTTACTCCTAAATACTCTTTAGGCTATGCTCATGTAAATATGCTTGTTTAGAAATATTCACTTGCAACGATTGCTGGCCAGCTTCAAAAATATTGATACAGAGCTCAGCTTGGTTAAAAAGAAGGGGAATATGAGAACTGTCCATTCTATCAGCGCATACACAATTTTAAAAGGAATTATTACAGTCAGGCAATATAAACATTGATAGCTGGTTCAGAGAATTTAGGCTAAAGGAATTACCTGCATGAAAATGTCTGGAAGCTCTCATTATATGAATCTCCTACAAGCAACCATTTTTAACTACTCTTTCTTGATTCTGTTTCCTTTTGATTTGTGTGAAGAGATACCACTGAACTGCTTGCAGCAACTGAATTTTCCATGGATACCCCCAAACTCCGAGGTAGGAGACAGCACTGCCAAAAGCTAAAATGTCTCTAAGTTTTTAGGATTACCTGTAGCAGTCAATAGTGCTAGATGATCTAGAAAGGCAACGTCTGCCACTCCATTCTTCAAGCACCTGCAGCAAGACAAATGCCATCTTGTTAGCGTGTTACCTGGCTTTTCCCCCTCACCAGGTCTTGTTCCCACTCAGTGCAAGGGGCTCAGAGCTCACCTGAAGGCTCCTTCAGAGCCATAAAAGGGTTCACTGGTACTAGTCTCACAGAAGTGGTTCTTGTCTCTGACATAGGATTTCTGTCCTTGGCAAAGAGCACAGAGTCGAGGAGCAGCAATTCCAACCCCAGGGATGCAACTTGCATTGAAATACTCACTGATTGCTACAGACATAAGGGAAACTTGGTCAAATGGGAAAAAAATAGAATAAAGGAAAGGTGCTAAAATCTATCATGTGTAAAAGTAATACTTATGCAGGTTAAAAAAAAATCTTTAGCAATGTGGCTTCATTGTCTAAATATCAAATTCAAACCATTCTTTGGATATAGAGGTGTCAAATTCTGCTTAGGCTAAAACCATGGTTTGTTTGGATAGATGTTACAAAACTCTGTTCCTTATTGTACACAGAACACTGAGATTTCCTTTTGCTTTTGATAACAGTGCTACTCGAGAGGTCACTGGAAAAGTCCTGGAGACAGCTAAGAACCAGTAACAAAGACATCCAAAAAGATATCTCATCTGCAAAGCCCTTCAGTTTCCATGTAGTTCATGCTGCATCCGCTTCCACTTCACTCAGTTACACCAAGGACAGATACAGCCCTATGGTTCTGATCACCCACCTTGGTTCAGAGGTTGTGTCTCATCCCAGGAGAGATCATTTTTAGCCAGGAGAAAGCCAAGTGGGACATTCCAGCCTGATGTCCACCTGGCTCCGTTGTGGCAGCTGCGCACACCTCTCAGCTGATGGATATTCAAAGCTCCTTGCCTGGCAACGGCCACAGCAAACACACAATTTCCTGTGATGGGACAAAATATACAACAGAAATAACTAAACACAAATTCTGCAGCTTTCACGTGTGCATGGGAGCTCAATCACTTCTATGAACATGGCTAAGGAAAAAGAATGTTTGAGAATATGAAATATAGAAATTCCTAACAGGGAATCCACAATATCCTACATAGCATCTTGCCAAATTGAGCAACGCAAGCAATGTGCAAAGAAAAGGCTGACAAAATCATCAGGCTCCATCCATTCAACACCAGCTCCAAATTCCTTCTCAGAAATTTTGGACACTTGTATCACCATGTTTCATGCATCACAACAGAAAGACTTTCCGTGTCTTATCCTCACAGTATAATTTCCAGCCCAAAACATATCAATTCCACTAAGATTTCATGGTTCTTGAGCTAAAACAAAATGCACTTGTTCTCTTACTGTTACCCTATTGATCTGTTCCTATGTCTATCTGCTAATTCAGCTTCTGTCTCAGAGTCAAATAATTTCTCCTGTAAGATTGATTTGGGCTCAGACTTAACTTACTTGTCTTCTAAGTCAGTATTTGCACAGACTACTCAGCTTTACAAGGAATGAAGAGGAAACTCACTATAAAAAGATACTCCTCTATATATTCTTGTCGCCTTAGGGTGAAAAGAAGAGAATTAACTCTTAACAGAAGCTAATCCCTTAAAGAATAACCACAAAGTATTCGGTTACTCTAAGAAAGAGCATACTGGGAGAACTAACAGAGATGAAAAAACAAACCAAATCAAAATTAAAAAAAAAAAAAAAATACACTTCATCAATTCACTAGCCAAATTAGAAGTTTAACTTAGTCTTCTGCTTTATAAACCTACCTTTCTCATAGATCTCCTTTGCCACTACTGTCAAGCCATACAGTTTTACAGCAGAGTAAACATCTCCAGCATCCAAGGAGACAGCATCTGCTTTGTTCACCTTAAAAATGACAGCAAAACCCCCAGAATCAGTGTGGTTACTAGCAAATAATCACTCAGAGCAGCTTCATGACCAGAGTTTATGCCTAAGAAGTGCTAACCAAGGACTTTTACAAGTATTTGCTTTTTTTTTTAATTGAATCCCTGCTACTCAGCATGCTGATACGCCAGCAATGAGGCATGAGTTACCTCCACAGAGCAACTGGTCTTTCCCAGTAATATCTTCTATCTTTCTTTGATCCTTTCATTCCCAAAATACAATTCTGACACCACTGGGAAAAACAAAAAGAAAAACAACCCCTGCCACCACCACCACCCTTTTTCTCTCCAAAATATTAAATCCATCTCACATATGTTCTGGCTCTAATCTTTACATACTCATGCAAATAATGGGAACTGAAGCCTAATAGCAAAAATCATGAGACTAAATGAAAATATGAATGAAATTATTCCCCTCAATCAACAGGAAATAATTTATTTTGTTTTCCAGGTCAGATTTGGATTCCATCAAAGGCAACTGGGACTGAATGAGCAGGGAAACTGAAATTCTCTATCCCAATAAAGTTTTAAGTATATTAGTGGAATATTTGCTATTCCACAGCAAATACTTGTCTTCTTCACCAGTGATTTGTTTTCAAAGCATGTAGCATTATGAAGATGCTTTTTCAGACATACTGCTTACACCTACAAACCCCAGTGTATAATTTTATCCCAAATTAGGGGTAAGGAAGAGAAAACATCAATTACAGTTGCGGTAGGATGCCCGCAAGCAAGCAGAAAGCTCTGAGAAGGTTTTCATTTATTAGGCCAGTTTTGTTCATTTATTTCCAAGCAGTGTTCTACTTATTCCTGGATAATGCAAGGACATCAGTTGGAGCAAAATAGCACATCTGTAACAGGGATGCTCATTGATAATTTGAAATCTTGTGTCTCAAGCTGCCATGTACTTTGTCACAGGTTAGATACCATCGTTGCAGTAGCGTTTAATTCTCCTGGGAATTCTGTTTGACGGCGACTTCTCCTACGGAAGAGAGGTTTGTCTCAAAACAAAGAGTTATGGAAATCTCTGCAGACTCACCCTGATTTTATCAATGCAGTCATACGTGTTGTGAGCTCTGATACAAGAAATCCTGGTGAAGGAATTGGTCGTGGCAAGAGGCAGCACAGCTGTAAGAGCTTTGGACAGTTCAGCACACTTCCTCTGTTCTAGGTCAGATAGAGTGCACCATCGGAATTTCTTCCCTGCAGGATCAAAAAAAAAGGTGGAGATTTGTAAGACCTTTTGCTTCATCACATTTCTCATTTAATTTTCCATAAAAGTATGTCAAGGCTGCTACTCAAAAGGAGGAAACAAAGGCAAGGGCATCTTTATAGCTACTGTGTGTCTTCCTGCTAGAATCAAAGAAAGAGAACTGGCACCTCCAGTGCGGGGTAACCTTGTTACATCTTCCTGTTATCAGACTGCAGGCTTTCTGCTGACAAGCCATCTGTGCTGTGGCTTTATCAGAGCACAGACCTGCTGCTTGGGATGTAAACATCACATTCCTCAGGATTTACCAGTTTTATTGCTGTCAGGTTATCAAAACAGGCCATTCCTTTAACCTTTGCCCTGCTGTTTCCTCTGGTGCTTTCACACACACATACTCCAAATTCACACCTTATCAACAGCAATCTTACTACTTCGGCTACAAAGTTCTAGAGATTAAGAACTAAGTCTGCAACTGAAATAGAATTGTTGAGGTAGAGGATCCAATTGCTATATTTATGCTCAAATTATTTTTTGGACAAGGGATTGCTGTTTTTTAAACTGACTACAGCCAGTTTTCCAGGTGTTCCCAGCAATGAGCTGCATGCTTTATTAGAACACTATTTCCTGCCCACTTCCATTCCAAAACTGTCTGATTTTAAGCAACAGGACACATGCTGAAGTTTCAAGGTCAGAAATCCTTTACTCATAGAAGTGTGAAGATTTGAAGTCAGAAGAAATTCACAATTATATACAACTTATATAACAGAATGAACTGAATCCCTCACTCCACGAAGTTAGAATCTAGGACTATTTGAAATGATGATGCAATTCAGTAATTTGGGTTTAGTAGATGGTTTAAAAGTGAAGTAAGTGTTTCCTCAGCAACAGAAAGTAACCTCTTGGTCTTCTGACAACACAGAGAGGTTTATTCTTCATGACAACACCCACCATAAAAGACAAAAACTGTGGACAACCTGGCTATTGACTACAGAAAATCATGTTTTAAGTTGAACAGGGTAGTGAATAAACATCCTCCAAACGCATACAAAAAAAGCTGCAACATCCTTAACATTATATTTTCCAGATGTTTAAGTATTTGTCTCTTCAATGATCTTTTAATGTTAAAACATAAAACTTAATCATTTCATCAACACAAAGGAGCAGCTGCTCAGAGCAAACAAGGAATCACTGACTTGCGAACAACTTTTGCACTAATCTGCTTCAAGACTAACAAGGTCACCATCTGCCAATGATCAAACAGAAAAAAAACACAAGCAAATGGGAATCACAGGCACAGCGACTACTTTGCAGGGTAGAAAACAAAACCAAAGCACATATTAGAGCTTCTATCTTGGTAACCCATCCAGGGGCCACCCTTCCCTTTCCCTCTCTGCACCAGCCTTACCTGAAGAGAGCAAAGTGAAGATGATCAGGTCAATTATGATCGTTATCTTCATGATTAAAGCAGCACAGCCAGGATCCACTCTCTACTCTGAAGTCCTGCCTTCTCATACCAGGAATTCCAAGGCAATGACCAAAGCTTCTGGAAGACAACAAGAGCGGGGTTAGGCATCAACAAGGATAAATCAAGAAAAAGAAAAGGAAAAAAAGAAAAAGGAAAAAAGAAAAAGGAAAGGGAAAAGGAAAGGGAAAAGGAGTCAGAGGATGGTGTATCCTTGTAGGAAAGGAGAAAGCACAATTCCCACATACAGATGAAAACATCAGTACGTTTTCTGCTCATCATGAACATACATCTGTCTGAAACTAGATTTTGTCCCCAAAATCTTCAGTTTAGAGCATAATTTGTTACTGCACTTAACTTCCCCAGCAGCAGAAAGTTGATGCTTCAACTTCTGGCTCCACCACACAACCCCTCGCACAGCAGCTGCCCTTTCACTGAGGTGAAAACCACACACATTTCATACTATTCAATGTAAAATGAAGTTCAGCCATTGGTGAAAGAAATAAGGAGATAGATCCTTCACTGGGAAAAAAATGATTATAAGAACTTTTCATAAGAAAAAAAAATGTTAATTTGAAAAAAGCTGTGCTTCTCTTGTTTCAGTAGACACCAATATGCCTTTCAGAGAGACAAAAGTGTTTATGCCAATCTTACTAAAAATGTATCTTAAGTGAATTTTCCAAATTACCGAATCTCTGTAGAGTACATTGAACAGTTCTTTTATTCTAATTTTTAATTAATAATGATTATGTATTAACTTTAAACAAAAAAGTATTTCTATGCCTCCCTAAGAATTCAGAACAGCGCTGTGACTTGGTTAATTTTCTTGATGATCTTCATTACACTGTAGCACAACAATCTCATCCGAACTGGTTTATTTTCATGTTTCCTAACACCTAGCCTGGAGTATTATCTCTTAATTGCTCTAAACCAGCCATGTTTAACATCATTAATTCTGTAACACACAAAAGGGAAAATGTATACTTAAGCAAAGTATGCATAGCGAATCCACCTGACATGTAAAGTTTGCCAATATGCTTTTATCCTCTTTCCTGTGCAGGAAAGAACTGGTCATTCTCAGTATCCTGAAGAAAGAAGGTCTATTTCATAATTCTTTCTCCATCCTATGGATTTTCTTATTACTTTCTCTCCTTCAGGTATTTTCCCCCAATTTCTGCTGTAGCCTTATGAAGACTTCCTAAGGATTCACAGTCCTTGTCTCCCACTTACACAGATTCCTTTGCTGTTTCAGAGTTCCCTCTCCAGTTGCTGAGGTGTTATCTTTCCCAGCAGCCTGGTCACAGAATGAGATATATTTCTTACTCCTTCCTGCATTCCCTAAATTAGCCTTCCCAAGTTCTAAGCTTTTCCAAGCCCTCTGTTTTCTCATTTGCTGTGAGAAAGCACCATCTGTGGTACTATCCCACCCTTGGACTTGGCTCACCTTCACAGGTCTTGTTGGGTTGAACACTGGTTAGGAATTACAATTTATTCCTTAGTGTTCAATCTATACAGCTTTTTGATACAGTATTAGATATTAAGAAAAAAAAAATCGCAAGAGAATAAAACATGCTAGAAGGGACTCAAAAATAACCAAATGTCCACATATTTACTTAGAATTACAGCAAGAAAGATTAGATCAGGACGGATCACTAATCACTGAGGTTAACGTTAATTAAAACAGACTATTAAAAAAGTACACCTTATTAAGTACACCTCATCCTGAGAGTCACCCCCGTGTGTGTGTCGGGCTGCCTGCAGGCAGCATCAGAGCTCCTGCTCTGCAAGGTTTGCAGCAAGGCGCCCGCAGGATCCGCTCCCACCTTTGTGGTTGTCCTTCCTGCAGTCCTGCCAATATATTGGCTCGGGATGGACCTACGTGTTGGTTAATGTTGTCATTATTAATAGGTGAGTTTGAATAAGTTTGGGTCTGTGATTGGAATTTAAATAATATAAAATAAGAGGCACTAAAGATATTGGAGATGCACGAAGCAAGCTTTGGCAATTTAAACAGATTTTTTGGGCAGTTCGTCCCTGATAACATTGTGGGGGGAAGGAAAAAGAAAAGAAGAGTGACATAAAGATGTAGTGTATGTTAGTGTGCCTTTGTTCAGGAAAAAAAGTCAGATGTAACCATGATACAGGTGAGAGGACAACATCCTAAAGCACTCAGGATGTGGAAACACTCTGGAATTCTTTTCCTTCTGATTCACCCTAAAAAGCTTCTCCTCGCCCGGCCGGCACCAGAAAACACAACCAGCTTCCTGCCTGTAGTGACGTGTCTGGACCCAAGTCACCTCCAGCACCCGCTGCTCTCGGGATAGGGGGCCAGGACTCCACATGGGCCCCGGACAGGCCCCACTGCAGGAGCGGCCGGTCCCGCCGTGTCCCCAGGAGCAGCCTGATGTCCCCAGGGCCCCATCGCTGTGGCGACCGCACCTGCCCCACACCCCAACAGCCGCCCTGGAGGTCCCGAGCCCCCCATGGCCCGTGTCCTCGCTCCCACAGAGCAGCCCAGGCCTGGCCTGTGCCCAGCTCAGGCAATGGCCCCACACACAGCCCCTCTGCGGGTAGCCCGGTCCTCTGCCTCGTCCTCTCCATGGGGTGGCCTCATCCCCTCACGTTCCCGCGCGGGGCAGCCCGGGCCTCCCGCCTCAGCCCCTCTATGGGGCGGCCCCATCCCCACACGCGGGCCGCTCTGTGGGGCGGCCCCGGCCGCCTGCGCCGCCCCCTCGGGGCAGCGCCTCATGCCCAGGTCTCCACATCCCCCCATCGTGATGGC